TTTTTGTGTTTATATTTAATTGGTGATTATATGTTGGAGTGACTTGCTCACAATTTTTGTTTTCTTTGTTTTGTTTGTATGTTATCTATACAGGCAGGGAACTGTGCTATGCTCTTCTATTCGCTGGTTGACAGTACTTACACAGTTACCACCTGTCCTCCTTTCCTTTGTCAGCCTCTTGTATGTCCTTGCCAATCCTGGCAAACAGAGCCTGTTCTTATGTCCCTGGAATCCGAATGAGAATGCTATCACTTTAAAATCCAAAATGGTTGCCACTTCTAAACATTCAAAATGGCTGCACCCTTGGTCACTTTAAATATCCAAAATGGCTGCCACGTGTAAACAATCAAAAGGCTGCACCCTCCGGACAGCAGAAAGTCCACAGCTCAGGTTGTCTCCCTCCTTGCTGTTTTCCTTCCTAGTCATAGGCCACCAGAGAAGTTGTCCCTGCAGCCCTTGGTGACCGGGACTGATCTTTAGGTCAGTTCTCATGTCCCAACACCACTTGGAAATATTCAGGCTGTTGGTCTTGTCAGAGTAGCTGACAGTCTGCAGCTCCGCATGTCTCTGTGCTCACTGTTTTCGTTCAGGTTTTTCCACTAGTTAGTGCCTAATCCACTTCTGTAAACTTGCTTTCAAAGCTCAGGGTTCCAGTATTATCTTCTGTATCTCTGTCAACTGGTTTTTCTTTTCTTTGTTGAAGAGGGTCTGTATTGCTTGTCTGCTTATTCCTCCATCTTACTGGAAGTGGAACAAAGTGATTTTAAAAGTCATCTGTAATAACTGATAAGTGAGACCTCAGAAATCTTGTGGGAAAAAGAAACCGTCAGAGGGGATTGGCTTCCTTGGGACGTTTAGACTGCATGGATGTGCCACGTAGAACTGCTTCACAACAAGGCAGACTTAGGTGTTAATCTAACGAATGCGTCCAGGATATTTATGTGGAAAATGAGAAAGTGCTGGTGAGAGAAGTCAGAGAAAACCTGCATGGCTGGAGAGACATACTGTGTGTGTGGTCATGAGACTCACCTGGTTAAGGTGCCACTTCTCCCCAGACTGGTCGTATGTTTAGTGCAGCTCCCATCTGAATCCCAGCAGGAGTCTTCGTGGGTATAGACAAGCTGGTTCTGAAATGTGTATGGCAAGACAAAGGAAATAGAGGTGCCTAGCAGCTCTGAAGACAAGAGCACAGATAGCAGAATCACACTGCTTGCTTTGAGGACCAGCTATATAGCTACAGTGATCAAGACAGCAAGGAAGTGGTGGGAGGAGCGGCCCACAAGTCTGTATCAGAGAATAGAGTTTAGAGGTCGCCTCACTCAAGTGCCGCCAGCTGACCCTTGACAGGTGCAAAAGGTGTAAGGTAGAGAAAGGACAGTCTTTCCACAAAGTTCTGAGGCCATTGGATCCTCCAAGGCCAAGAAAGGAACTTCAACCTAAACTTCATGTTTATAGAAAAGTTAACCTAAATGTATAGATCTAAAAATAAAACAGCAAACTTTTTAGCAGAAAGTGTAGGTGAAAATCCTTTGGAACTAAGAGTTCTCAGACATGAACCCAAAGGCACATCCCTAATAGAAACAGTCTGTGAACTGGACTTCATCAAAATTTAAAACTTTTGACTTCTACTTTCAGAATGGCAGTGTGAGA